TCAAGTTGGAAGTGCGACGGAGAGATTGACTGTCAGCCAGACGGTGAGGATGAGGTGGGCTGTGAGTCCATCAGTGCGGTCTACTGTGATGAAAATCAGTTCCGCTGCGCAAACAAGCACTGTATTCGCCGTAAGTGAATTTGTTTTTAGTGGTTTCAACTTGGTTTATGTTTTCCTTTTTTTCTACTAGTGTTCTTCAAGTGCGACGGGGACAAGGTAGGTGACAGGGTGACGAGGTGGTAATTGACTTTGATATTGATACTATTGATTGATCCACATAGGACTGTGCCGACGGGGGAGACGAAGCTCCCGAAATGTGCAATACAAACCTCACTGCAAATAGCACCTCTGTCGAGTGTCCAATTGACGAGTGGCGTTGCGCCAGTGGACATTGCATCAGCGGTCATCTAAGATGCGATTTCACGGCTAATTGCCTGGATGGCTCTGATGAAGAGGGCTGTCTGGCACAGCATTGCAATGACAATGAGTTCCAGTGCCCGGGCAGTCCAAACATGTGTGTCTTGAACGACTGGAAGTGCGACGGGGACCAAGGTAAGTGACAAAGTGACCAGATGACAAGGTGATAATTGTTTTTGATATTTATCCGATTAGATTGCCCATCAGGTGAAGATGAGGCCAACTGCACCATCGGCTGTGTCGCTCGGGAGTTTGCTTGCGCCNAGGTGATAATTGTTTTTGATATTTATCCGATTAGATTGCCCATCAGGTGAAGATGAGGCCAACTGCACCATCGGCTGTGTCGCTCGGGAGTTTGCTTGCGCCGACCAGAAGCAGTGCATCTATGCACCCTGGCGATGTGATGGTATGGTGATTTATATTAGGATCTATTTAAGCCTTTTTTTATAAAATTACATTTTTAGGCGAATTTGACTGTGACGATAAATCTGACGAGGACCCAGCCATGTGCTCCAAACTTGCATGCCCACCAAACCGTTTCCGTTGTCAAAGCGGCATTTGCCTGGCAAGGGCAAAGGTTTGCAATGGCGTGGCTGACTGCGGGCCGGAAGACCGCTCGGACGAGGACAGTAAGTTGTGCGAGGACATCCAGCAGAAATGTCTAGGCGGGTGGACGCTGAGCGGCAACAATGACGGGCAGATGATGGCCAACGCACACATCATGGAGCGATTCGTCTGCTCCAATAAGCACTGCATTGATGGTAATTATTGGGGCTTGTCACTTAAAGCTGTGAAACTAAAACTTGTCTTCTTTTTTGGCAAATTCCAGCTTCTCTAGTCTGCGACGGCGTCGATTCATGTGGAGACAACAGTGACGAGGAGAACTGCGAGACACTGGAGTCCGGTAATCACGCCACCTGGCACCACTGTCCCTTTGGCCTGTGCTCGCAGAGCTGTACGTGGATCAAGAGCGGAAGTCATAACCAGCACAGTCAGTACGACAGTCATCAGCACAGCCACCACAACAGTCACAAAGTGCACATCACCACCGCCATTGACACCAACTTTACGCTGGCCTGCAGTTGTTCAGATGGCTACACGCGCTACTCCTTCATTCGGGATCAGCAGGACATTGAGGAAGAGAAGGAGAGGGAAAGGGTGAATCAAAGCAAAAGCAAGCAAAGTGGTGGCGAAAAGGGCCACTCAAAGAAGATGCCTCCGCAGCAGGCCACCTGTCAGGCAAATGGTCTGCAGGCAGCTCTACTAGTCTCCTCGGACACTGGCTTTCGAGTGGTCAATCCGTACAAGCGAAACTACCAGGAGCTGGTCAGTCTTTTGGTGTCAACAGAGAACGTCACAGACAAGAGCAATGTGACCGCCGATCACCATCAGCCTTCACATCTGCTGCTCAACCGTACGACGATCAATCGCATTGAGACATTTGACGTGCTGTACCAGAGAGACGGCGTGTCGAGCATCTTCTGGAGTAACACAAACCTCAGCAGCATCTTCCGCATTGACATCACCCACCTGGATGGCTTCTTTCGGTTTGGCAGAGAGATGCGGCACAATCAGGTACCGCCTGAGAAACAGCCGACAATGAGTGAGCCTGTTGAAGTGGTGAAGACAATCAGCAAGCCGAAAGCGGTTTCAGTGAACTGGGTCTCTGGACAAATTTACTGGATTGAAGCCAATGAAAAGAGCAGCAGCATCAGGTCGGCGACGAATGCAGAAAGCAGCTTAATTGATGCCAAAATCTTCATGGCAGAGTCAGACGGCAGCAAAAAGAAGACCATTTTCTCTGGCGCTCCACTGGAACAGCCTTGTGATTTGATTGTAGATCCAAAACATTCTTACCTTTTCTTCAGCGACTGGTATGCACAAAACTTTAAATTGAAATCATATTTTTACTTTTTAAAAAACGTTTCATTTTTTTAGGGGTCACACTAGTCTGAAGATTGGCCGCAGCAATCTGCTGGGCACCGACTGGCGTCCACTGGTTAGCAGCGACCTCGAATGGCCCTTAGGACTGGCGCTGGACTACGAGGCAGATCGCCTGTACTGGAGCGACCCAAAAATGTCGCTGATTGAATGCGTTCGCATTGACGGCTCAGACCGACAGCGCATCTACTCACTCGTCAGCTGGGGCCTGAAACCAATTCGACTGGACCTCTTTGAAGACCACCTCTACGTGTCCACCTTCCCCAACCATCAGATCTTTAGGCTGGAAAAGTTTGGTCGCCAGCGAGGCGCCAATCGCAGCGAGATAGTGCCTCTCGTTCACGGCGTGCCAAAACTGTCCGACCTGGTAGTGGTGCATGAGTCACGGCAGAAGGTGAACCTCTCCAATCCGTGTCAAAAGTGGAGCCGCCAGTTGGCCGCCTACGTCAGCCCCTGTCCTCACGCCAGCTTTATCTGTCTGGCCACCTCACCGAAGACGTTTGAGTGCACCTGTCCGGACGGACAACGGAAGATGCTCTCCAATCGTAATGAATCGGAGTGCACTGACAGCGTGCAGGCGGAGAAGACTTCCCCAGAGGGCAAACCAAATCAGTCGCCGGCTGAAACCACTCGCTGTCCCTGTCTGAACGACGGCCAGTGTCGCTACCTGCCCGACGACAGTCTCTTCTGTCAGTGTTCGCCGCTGTACGAAGGCGAGCTGTGCGAGCAGTTCCGCTGCATCAACCACTGCCTCAACAATGGCGCCTGCTACATTGACCTGAGCGAAGCGAGCAGCTACTACTCGGAACCGGTGAACAGCAGCAACACTGATTCTACGACCAACAACAACAGCACCGGAAAAGTCTTTAAAAGCCAGGGCACTTCTCGCTGCATGTGCCCGTTGCAGTGGACCGGCGACCGGTGTGAGGTGCCGGTGAGCAGCTGTAATCTGATTCCCCCCACTCTGGTGCCTCAGCCAGGATCTGTGTGCCTGAACGGTGGCCGGTGCTCGCTGGTTAGCAGCAGCAAGACTGGCTTCCCCGGCACCGACGACGTCACCGTCGCCTGCGACTGCAGCGGAACTGGCTTCACTGGGGAGCAGTGCGAGGAGTGCCACCAGGCGCTGTACTGTCGCCACGGCGGAAGCTGTCTGAAGACTGACGATGGTGGCCACTTTCGATGCGCCTGTTTGCCTGGCTTTGCCGGCACTACCTGTGAGCAACACCTTTGTCACGCCAGCTACTGCAACGGTTACGGAAATTGCACTGTTGAAGAGAGGCCGCTCAAACTGGAAACATCAGCTGGTGAGCCTAGCAGCGGCAGCAGCAACAGCGTCAATGGCGACTCTCACTTTCGCTGCGCCTGCATTCGCGGTCGATCGGGTAATCGGTGTCAGTTTGACGACCTGCAGGCTAATCCACCCACCAACTGTGATCACATTGAGTGCGTCAACGGAGGCACCTGTCACCAGGTGGCCAAGGATAGAGCTGTTTGCAGGTAAGGCATTTAAAGAAAATGAGAGTTTTCATTTGATAACACTTCTTTTTTTACATTTACCACTACAGCTGTCCGGCGGACTTTACCGGAGTGCACTGTGAACACGCCTACCTGGCAAACTCCAGTGTTTTGGTAGATGTAAACCAGCAGCAGTCATCATCATCATCGGACAACTCTTCACCGACAATTGGCGGTAAACCGGTGACACCTAAATCGCACACTGTTCATCACTACGACATTGTCGCCTACCTCTTCCTGGCCACTGTCGTCTTTGTTTTCGGCGGTTTTATGATCTTCCGTCTGCATGACACACTTTGCAAGAAAGTCCAGTCAGAGTTGGCTTTCCAGCACCGGCGCATCAACGACAACTTTACCGCTGCTGACGGACCTAATGTCGAGATACTGAATCCCATCTTTAATCTGGACACTGCCAATGTCGATGCGGAAGAGCAGATAGAGCTGGAGACTGAATTTGGCACAGGCTCATTTGTTGTAAGTGCAAACAGGTGATTTGTTAAGAAATAATCTAATGTTTATTTTGTTTCCAGAACACTACAAATTTCAGCAATCCAATCTACGAATACAAAAAGCGCGTTCTCGAGCCGAAAAACGTCGAAGAGACCGAGAATCTTCTTGAACATCCTTCGTGATTGTTCACAAACATAAATGTGATCTCAGCTTACACTTTCAAGTCATTTTTGCATAAATACACATCGACATTACTTTTCAGTCAGTCAGTCAATTCTAATGCAACTTTTCGGGTGATACTCACTGACCAAACTTCAACAACTCATTTGAAAATACTCATTAAAAATTCTCAAAACCAAAGAATCCGTTTGGTTTATGTTGTATAAAACTACCAAACAAATTGGGGCCAAACATTATCATTTGACCAATTTTTATAAATATCAACAATAAACAAATGTTAACTAAAAATGGTGACCAAGTTTTAAAATGTGTTTTTTGCAGTTAAGAAGCCCCCAGCACTATTTTTTTGTAGTCTAAATCACTTGTTGCACTTATCCTTTTCATTCATATTTTGTGCTGTTATTCAAGTTTTTTACTTCCGCACTTTGGCCATGCGACACTTCAGGTGAATAAAGGCTCACCTTTTTGAGGAAATATAGCTTTTCTCTTTTTTTTCTCTCTTTTGTGGTAGCTAAAACACCAATCACCCGGTCAAATTGGCCGATTGTCTTTGTCTTCTTCTTCTTGGGAGGAGGCCAGTCGTGTCAGCTCTTCACATACCTTCTTCAGCATGTTGAGTTTATGCAACTGCTGCTGCCTTTGCTGAAGGCTCAGGTCGATAAGACAACAGCGCACAGGTGCAAAAGAACAGATTAAAATACACAAGAAGAAAAGGAAGAAGAAGAAGAGAAAAAGGAGCAAGACAAAAAGTAGAGCTTCTGCTACTGTTGCTGCTAATGGGACTACTCGTGCGACGGTGTTCACTGGGCCAAAGCGAGATGGATGCCGCCAGTGGAGCGATGGATGGAGCATGCAGCAGCAGCAGCACTTCTGGCTGCCGGCTGTCGTTCGCCCTCACCACTGTGACTCACTTTGCTGCAGCATCATCACCCCCTCTGCTCTTACCATGAGCAACTACCTCTCAAGACGGCGTCCAAAGACATACAAACAGTGCGATGGGGTCCCAGGCACAAGTGTGCTTGTGCTTGTGTGTGATTCGCTTCGGTGGACACTACCACCACCACCACCACCTGAGCAACATTGCTGATGCTGCTGTTGCTGAAATGATGATAACGAAGAAAAAGGGACACAGCAAATGCGGCATACTGTAGTCGAGCAAATAGACTAAAGATTGTGATTTGGCGGCTGTCAATTAATGGCCTCACTTGTGTTGGGGCAGTGTGCTGCTCTGTGCCTGTCAAACTTGCCTGAACTTGCCACTGGAGCTGATGATGAGCTTGAGGAGCACTTTGAGGAGCTGAAAAAGACAAAAGACTTGGAAAGCGGACGTTCATGATGTCAGTGAGTCAGTCAAGACAGTAGTTTTCATCTAATGTTTAAAACGCTTCTATTTGCTTTGGTTTGTTTTTAATGAAACTAATTAGTTTTTGAAAACGTACCATTTAGGCATATTTGTTACTTGGCTCAGTGCAAACAAACTCTTTTTCAGTAATTGGCAGTAAATCATGCCGCAACGAGGTGGGCAGTGGTCAGAAATCTATTACTCTCTGACTATAGGGTTTGCGCAGCAGCTACATCAGTGCAAACTTCAGTGAGCCTCTTTGGACAAGTTCATTCTGCAGTCGCTCAATTGGCCGCACAAGACGGGCCTAGCTTGCGAACACGCCCATTGCAGCAGTGGTCATGGTGGTGATGGTAGGGTAATCAGTGGACTTGTCAGCAGAAAGGAAGGTGCCGACAAGAGCCATTCGACTGATTGGCACTTTCACTGACGGTGCAACTGCATACCAGTGCTGAGCTGCTGCTGCTGTAATTGCGATGACTCGCTTCATTGCTCAATGTGGCACCGACTCATTAGAGACTGAAGAGGCTGCTGCTTTTGCTTTTCTCTACTCTTCTGTCGGCACTTCTCTGTTTTTTTCATTTGGCAATTTGGAGAGGAGGGGGCAAACTGACTTTTAGAGCCTGGAAAATTGAAACATCAAATGCTGCTGCCGATCATTGCTGATGATTGGATGACCTCGTCGGCCAGATGATGATTGGAATGTCCGCCTAATGCAGGAGGGGGGATTCAAGGTAAAGAACATGACAGCTGATGAGCTGCTGCTACCACATCTTCTCATAGTCATCAGTTTGTCGTTTTTGAGAAAAACTCCATTACCAGAACAAATCTTGTTCTTGTTTACTCGTGCATTCTTTTTGTATCTTGTACAGTTTATTAGCAAAAAACTGAAAAATGAAAAAAGAAAGATATACAAATGACTATTTACAGAATTTATGTAGGGCACAGGGTGACAACAACTAACAATTACTGACAAGGAAAAGAGGGAGACGAAGGAAAGAGCTGGACAAATAGGCACAAACAGCAGCAAAACAGAAGGCTTTGCACTCAAGTTCTAAGTGGAAAGAAAAACAACTAATGTAGTGCGATGATGAAAGTGGTGGTCAGTTACTTAGTGAGTGTCAAAAAACCAGTGCCAATAAGAGTGATGAAAGTAGAGGTCAGCTGCAGTGATCAAGTTCAAGCTGTGTTCACACAGTTTCGACCGAAAAAAATAAAAATACTGTTACGTAAGAAGTTGAGAAGGTAGAGAAGGTGTGGAGAGAACAGTAGTGCAAAACAAATGTACAACAAACAGGAGACTAATAATAATAAAAAAGAGAAGGCAATCGTAGGTATGTACAGAAATGCTATGAAGAATGGAGAAGATAAATAGAAAGAAGAAGAAATAACAAACAATGAGATTAGGCAGGTGATCAGGTAAGAAGGTGATGAGAGGAGGAAGAGAAGAAAGATGAAGAGAAAAAGAGATCGTTTCGCCAGTGAGACGAGGAACACGGGTTTTGAAGATCGCGGGGTTTTGATAAGAGAGAAGATGTTGTTGTGGTTGGCGAGTGGAACGAGCTGAACACGGGCAGAACTACTTGGTAGTACTACTCGCTTCGTTGTACATCAGAAATGATGAGATGCATGGGCTGGGTTTTGTTTGTACATGACAGGAACCGGGAGAAGAAAAAGAGTGAAAAGGCAGTAATAGTGGTAGATCATGTTAGCAAGAGAAGAAGGCGTTTGTTTGGCCTGATTCGAGGTCCTGTTGTAGGAGAGAATGAAAGTAGACAAAAAAATTAGTTTTTGTTGCTGGTAAAACCAATAAACTAAAATTAAACAAACACTTACCCGAAGATGNACAGGAACCGGGAGAAGAAAAAGAGTGAAAAGGCAGTAATAGTGGTAGATCATGTTAGCAAGAGAAGAAGGCGTTTGTTTGGCCTGATTCGAGGTCCTGTTGTAGGAGAGAATGAAAGTAGACAAAAAAATTACTTTTTGTTGCTGGTAAAACCAATAAACTAAAATTAAACAAACACTTACCCGAAGATCTGACGATGAAGTAGTGGCAGTGGTGGGCACTTGGTGGTGAAGATTTGTGTTCAAGCAGACGATACATTGAATGGAAGGCGATGGCGATGGTGCAAGTAATGCTGGTGATGTCCGATTTTGAATGCTGCCGTACTGCTGCTGTTTGCCAGCAGAGGAGCAAAGTAAGGTCAACTGGTCGGTGACAATGCCTGGCGCTAGTGTTGGCAGTGTGTTGACTGTGGCTGTTGGTGTTGCCTTCCCAACAGCAGAAGTACTCTTTGAGGCCGATTGATGCTGATAGTGCTGCATGAGGTTACTGTTCCTCTGATGATGGTGGTGGTGGTGGTGGTAGCCTGCACCGTTGTTGTAGTCGCCGTTGAATGCGCCGTTATCGTGGCCACCTAGGTGGTCACGGTACGATGATGCTGCTGCCGAGCTGCAGGAGTCGTCTTCGAGAAGTGGAGCTGAACAATGCTCTTGTGCTAGTCGGTGTTTTCTGCAAAAAAGAAGAGCGAGAGAAAGAAAGAAAAGAGTCCAAACGGTTAGCAATTAGTGGTGTCAGCGGTTCGGTGCTGTCATAGCGAAGAGCTCGCGCAAGTTGCCCTGTTTAAGAGCAGCAACAGGTAAGCTTAACTAACCTGACGTAGGTGAAGTAGTAGATGGTGAAGACGACGACCAGAATGACGGCCAGTGTGACGCCGCCGGCGATGCCTGCCGTCTCTACGAGAATCTTCTCACGGGACGCTAAAGAGGGAGGAGGAGGAGAAGAATGAGAGTTAGCAAGGCAAGGGGTGAAAAAGCGACAAGGTCTGGAGGGCACGGACACTTACGTAGGTAGCTGCCATCGAGGTCCTTGAATTCACATCGTTGTCCCATGTAACCGTCGGAGCATCTGATTAGTAGTAAAAGGAAAAAAATTAAGAAAAATTAATGAACTGAGTTTTTGGTTACAGCAATTAGCCCAATGAAAAAATGACTTACTCGCAATTGTAGAGTATGGACTCGCCGATGCGCACTGAGAAGCAAGTGGCGCCATTGAGGCAGTACCACTTGGCGTACGCTTCCGGACAGGCGTACGTCTGAAAGGTGATGTTTGGTCGGGTGGTGGGCGTCGGTGGACGAGGCTTCGGCGTAGACCTCGAAGAGCAGGAGTCTGTGAGAACGGAATAGAAAGAAGCAAAAAGATAGTTAGAATTAGAATTAGTTAAATGTGCGGTGATTTAGTTTTTTGTTGGTAGTAGTGCTGGGGTAGTATCATACTGGATAGTCGCAGAGCAACACAGAGAGTGTAAAAACATATCAAATCAGTGTTCGCTGGTGTGTGGCGCCGCAGCGAGTGTGCGAGTGAGTGAATGAGAGAGAGGACGGTAGGAGAGAACACGCCACTGAGGGCACTGGCGGACATTGACGGGCGTTGCCCCTTCTGCAAGAGAATAAAGTGATGCGCAAAGCGACATCAGGAACAGCAGGAGCTGCTGCTGCTGCTCAAAAAAAGAGAGAACAATCTCCTGAAGGCTTCAGCAAACAGTGAAAGTGCTTCTGAAGCAATTGACTAGGATGATGATGATGCTGCTACCCTACTACTTTTTTAGCAAGGAAACTACGGCTCAATGCGTCGTTGTGACGCTGACTCGGTCACTTTTG